CGCCGTAGGGGCTGCTGCTATAGGCACTGTAGTAGGAGCTATAGGCGTAAGAGCCGGCAGTGATGCCGTACGGGGCTGGGTAGGGCTGGGAGCCCCCGAGGCAGGGTTTGCCGTCCCTGACCAGCACGGGCACGGCCACCCTCCGCAGGGGCAGCGGGTGGGCAGCCAGCTCCAGGGATTTATCCTGCCTTTGCCTCTTGCACTTGTACCTCCGGTTTTGGAACCAGATTTTCACCTGCGTGGAGGTGAGCTTGAGCACGCTGGCGAGATGCTCCCTTTCCGGAGCGGAGAGGTATTTCTGTTGTTTAAATCGCCGTTCCAGTTCAAACACCTGAGCTTGGGAGAATAAAACTCGGGGTTTTCTCCGCTGTCGCTGCTTGGGATGGTGGCAGGGGTCAGCTTTCTTCTCGTCTGCCTCGAAGGGGTGGGCGAGCAAACATTTTCCTGCAGCAAGAAAAACCCAAAGCAAAGTGAGACCCAGGTCTGCTTCTGTTCCCAGTGAGGCTGCGTTTCCAAAGGAGGGGTCGCACTGGGAACGGGGACCCTTGGGAATAAGATGAAGTAGGATTGATAGTTGATAAATTTAATGTGAAGTTTCCTGTGATGTTTAATGGGAATTCAAGAAAATTCCCTTTTTTTGGATGGAATTAGGAAGCCTGACTGTGAGGTGAATTTTGGGCAATGCCTCCTTTCGGTCCCTCCTAATGATGCCTGTGCTGCCGGCGTGGCAGCCCCAGCCTGGAGCGGCACAGGGGAATCAGGGTACGATATGTTTGAGTACCCCAAAAAACAAATCCCCTTCCCCATCGTCCTGCTCCGGAGCGCGGGCGGAGGAAACGGTCGCGGGGCCCAGCCGGTCCTCGAGCAGGATTTACTTCCAGTGCCCGCGGGAAGGTGAGTCCCCGCAGCGCTCTGAATTTAAGCAAAACCAGAAAAACGAAGGGGCTGGGAACGAAGGAGGAAAAATTGTTAGGTCTGCAAGAAGATGGAAAGTAGTTTGGTGGTTTGGTTTTTTTTAAATTTGCTGGGGTTTCGTCTTGCAGGAGGGCCAGCCGGGGTCCCGCGCGGCCATCGGTCCCCGGCTGGTGGGATGCGCTCGGGGACCCTC